TTATGCTGTGCAATTCTCTTTTGACATGTATTATTATTTTTTATTCTACATATAATATTTGCATTTATTTTATCTCCCTATGAATGTCAACTTCATGGAGACATACTGCATAAAAAATATACTTCAAAATTCCACTGCAGAATAAAATTGATGGATAAGTCAATTATATCCAGAATACATCATGTGAAATTCCAGGCTGGATGAAGCACAAGCTGGAATCAAGATTGTGGGGAGAAATATCAATAACCTCAGATACGCATATGACACCACACTTATGGCAGAAAGTGAAGAACAACTAAATAGACTCCTGATGAAAGTGAAAGAAGAGAGTGGAAACGTTGGCTTAAAACTCAATATTCAGAAAACTAAGACCATGGCATCTGGTCTCATCACTTCATGGCAAATAGTTGGAGAAACAATGCAAACAGTGAGACACTTTATTTGGGGGGTGGAGGGGGGTCTCCAAAATCACTGCAGATGATGACTGCAGCCATGAAATTAAAAGACACTTGTTTCTTGGAAGAAAAGCTATGACCAACATAGACAGCATATTAAACAGCAGAGACATTACTTTGCCAACAAAAGTCTATCTAGTCAAAGCTATGTTTTTTTTCCAATAGTCATGTATGGATGTGAGTGTTGGCCTTTAAAGAAAGCTGAACACTGAAGAATTGATGCTTTTGAACTATATTGTTGGAGAAAACTCTTGAGAGTTCCTTGGATTGCAAGGAGATCAAGCCAGTCAATCCTAAAGGAAATCAGTTCTGAATATGCATTGGAAGGGCTGATGCTGAAGTTGAAACTCCAATACTTTGGTCACCTGATGCAAAGAACTGACTTATTGGAAAACACCCTGGTGCTGAGAAAGATCGAAGGCAGGAAGAGAAGGCGATGACAGAAGATGAGATGGTTGGATGTAATCACCGACTCGAGGGACTTGAGTTTGAGCAAGCCCTGAGAGTTGGTGATAGACAGGGAAGCCTGGCGCGCTGCACTCCATGGGGTTGCAAAGAGTTGAATATGACTGAGCGACTGAGCTGAACTGATGAATGTCAACTAAGTGAAGTCAGTAATGATAGATAGATAGATAGATAGATAGATAGATAGATAGATAGATAGATAGATAGAAATATTTAAGCACCAATTGTTAAAAACAAAAAAAATCTCACCTTAGTTTTTATAGCTTGAGAGTGGAGGAAGCTGAATTTAGCCTCAGCTTTATCTCACTCTGACCTCTTTGGTATTAACCACTTCTGAATCAATTTTTGCCTTTAGTTGCTCTTAGTATGGTGTTTACCAGTTCTTTGTTGATTAAAGGCAATAGAAGTTCAAAAGATTTTTGTAGGGTATTGTAGAGAATATGACCAAAATGCTTACCTTTATTATGATCTTATTGCTAGATAATGTTTGTAGTGTATGAAACACAATTCAAGCCTTTTTAAACATCAGACATTTATGTATACTTATTTGAGCAAACTAATAGAGTAGGTGGAATTTAATTAATGCCTTCATTTTATTGTTGAAAAGACTGCAGTACAGAGACATTGTGGAATTTATCTGACATGATTATCAGTGGGACTGACTAAGACTAAAGTGATCCAACTTCTACCCACTTTTCTATTTCCATTATAAGTTGATATAATGCTTCAACCACCAATTACATGGAAAAAATTAGTTATCTCATTTAATTTGTCACAATTATAGTGATATTAATGGCAGTTAAGATATAAATTAAGCAAAAATAGAAGGAATTTATGTTTTCAAATATATTTATGGGACAGAGTTTTTAATAGAGATCACTGCATGTAATTGGACAAATGCTAAAGAGTAAGCATTATTATTCCCATTTAGTAGGTGAAGAAATGTAGCCTTATAGAGACTTATTAAATTGTCCAAAGTCTTACAGAAAGAGATAGAAGAACCTATATGAGGACTCTTTTCTAAATAATACAAAGCCAGAATTTCCCATTGGTCAGAGTGGAAAGTAAAGCCCTTGGATCAACCGTTGACTCTATTACTTATGCTTGACAAGTTTATTGATCTTTCTGAGTTTTGGGTTTATCCTCTTTAAAATGGGAATAATGCTTACCACTATTGATTGTTGTAGGAACCTAAAGAAATTTAAAGTGATTCATTTACTGACTAGATACAACAATTAAGAAAGAGAAAAAAGCTAGTCCTTTAGTAGCAAAGTCACTGGATATTTATTTGGGACATAGAAATTATACTGAGAGGTCTTTCTCTCAATGAAGCTTCTAGAAGCTACTACTTTTTTTTTTAATTATGACATGTACTAGTTGGTTTGTAGTTAATAGGAAAAGAAAGCCCTATTTTCTTAATTTTCACATAAGCATATGATTTATTCATTGGATTATTAAATATAAAAACAGAAACACACAAAACAGAAGACTGAATCTCTAGACTGTTTCAAGACTGGCAACTCTACATCTGTCTATTAACCCCTGTACTTTTCTCCATAATGTGATACCAGGGATGTTTTAAGAACTCATGATATGATTGAGTGATTTTGAACCAGATCAATTTCAACTCATATATAATGACACTCATTTGAAAGTCTGGTAAATTCTGAGTCTTTTATCCCTAAAACTATTTGATGCTTTTCATGATGAGTGTGGATGCTCTATACTTTAAGGCAACCATTGTGTTTCCCTGACCTTTCACTATATTGGACTGGAGGAAGGGCTGAGTTAGAAACAGTGCAAGTATTTGAAATGGATGATGTGATGGAATTTCAACATATTGGAGAAAAACTTAGGAGTTCTTAAATCTCAGTCTCTGCCTTTACCTGATCCAGATATTCAAAATGTGTAGGCTTCCCAGGAACTCAGTCACTCAGTCATGTCTGACACTTTGTGACCTCATGGACTGTAACCACCAGGTTCCTCTCTCCACAGGATTCTCCAGGCAAGAATACTGAAGTGGGTTGCCATTCCCCTCTCCACCTTCCAGGTGGCACAGTGGTAAAAAAAAAAAATCTGTCTGCCAATGCAGGAGATGCAAGGGACAGGGGTTTGATCCATGTGTCAGAAAGATCCCCTGGAGTAGGTCGGCAACCCACTCCAGTACTGTTGCTGGGATAATTCCATTGAAAGAGGAACCTGGAGGGCTACAGTCCATGGAATCACAAAGAGTCGGATGCACGTATGCACCCACACCATAGAGTTGAGAACACATGAAGATAAACTATATCCTCCTCTATTGTCAGTCATTGATACATCAGAGTTAAGAGAACTATTCTTTGTTAAGGGCCTTGGGATGAGGTTGAAAAACATGAAGACTCTTGGCCCCCTCAAGAGGCTAGAGTTTACTTGCAATTAGAAGAGAGGGAGAGAAAGGCAGAGGGGAAATTAAGGATGAGAGCTGGACAACCAGTCCTATAGACATTACAATCCTACTAAAATTAGCCTTAGGGATTGATCCAAACCATATCCTAGAGAATCTCTGAGGACTGTAAGGATATATATGTGAGGTTGACCAAACTCAGATGTCTACCCTTTTCAATATTAAGCAGAAGAGATCATAGGGTACCAGTGATTACTAGGTGAAACCAACCACCTAGCATCAGGGAAAACTGAGGACAGGAAAAAAAAAAGAAAGAAAAGAGTCTTGTCAATATTCACAAATCTAGTTAGCAGAGCCTGAGTCTCCAGCTCTTATTCTTCACCTTTACCACTGTTGTTCAGTTGCTAACTGCAACACCATGGACTGCAGTGTGCCAGGCTTGCCTGTCCTTCACTATCTCCCAGAGTTTTCTCAAATTCATGTCCATTGTAGACTGATGATGCCATCCAACTATCTCACCCTGTCACCCCCTTCTCCTCCTGCCCACAATCTTTTCCCTTTGTGTAGCTCCTGAATTTATTGGTGGCAGGAGTTTCAGAGGGGGAAAACACAGTAAACTCTCTCTGGAAGCACAGTAAACTCCTGTCCTTGGTGCATGTGTGTCTCATGTTTGTATCCTCCAGAAACACATAGCTAGCATTTATAAGATTTTACTGAATATATGAGTGAAAGGATCCTGGGATGAGTTAAGTCATCCTTCACGTCAGCCCCATTCCTCATGTATTTTGCTAAGTTTTCTCTGACTTCCTTTCACAATAGAGAAATTTTCAACATTTGAATCTATCATTCTTTATGACTGAAAAAAATATATACTTTAGAGTAATTATTTATTTCATCTTTCATGCCCTGTCTCCATTTCTAATCAACACTTGAGCCAATTTCAAAAACAAAACAAACAAAACATCATTATTTCAGGGGGTAATGTGAGAGAAGGATAAGTCGGAAAAATTGGGATTGACATACACACTACTAAATATAAAATAGATAGTTAATAAGGACCTACTGTATAGTACAGGGGAGTCTAGTCAATACTCTATAATGACCTATATGGGAAAAGAATCTAAAAAAGAGTGGATGTATGTATATCGGATTCACTTTAATGTACACCTGAAACTAATACAACATTGAATATGATCTATCTTCCAAAAAGAATTTTTAAAAATCCTTTGCTTCAGATCATAGAGTTAAAGATTACTGAAAATCCTTCAGAATTTAGGATTGACTTGGAGGATATAATGCTTAGAGAAGTAAATCAGACAGAGAAAGACAAATACTGCATGATATCTCTTATATGTGGAATCTAACAAAACAAAGCAAACTAGTCAATATAACAAATATACAAATAAATAAACTAAAAAGAATATCTTGTACAGTACAAGGAATGTAGGCAGTATTTTATAATAATTATAAGTGAAGTATAACCTTTACAAATTTTGAAGCATTATGTTGTACATGGAAACTTATACAAAATGGCACATCAACTATAGCTCAATTAAAAAAAATAGAATATTGACTCAGTAAGTACTTAGTAACTTGAAACACTTACGGGAAAGTTATTAAAATTTTTCATTTCCTGCCACATCCTTCTACCACTATTATTTACATATGTTGATTTTTTTTCATTTTTGTTATTAATATTACTGAGGTTTCTTCCCAATTATTTTTTTGAGAGCAGCCTTCACATCCTTGTTCTGTAAACTGTAGATCAAGGGATTCAACATGGCGATGATAACAGTGTAGAACACAGAGGTCCATTTGTCTTGATCCAGGGAGTAGCTGGATGTTGGCCTCAGATACATAAAGATGGCTGTGCTATTAAAAAGTGTGATGCCAGTGAGGTGAGACCCGCAGGTGGAGAAAGTCTTAAGGCAGCCTTCAGATGAGCGCATTCTGATAATTGCAATGAGGATGAAAGCATAGAAGATAAAGATGATGAGGATGGTGCTGAATTCAATGAAGCCATAGAGACTGAAGAGCAAGATCTTGCTGATGTATGTGTCTGAGCAAGAGAGAGCTAAGAGTGGTGTGATTTCACAGAAGAAGTGTTTGATGATGTTGGAACCACAGTAACTCAGACTGAAAGTGAGGGAAGGGTGGGTGACTAAACTCACCAAGCCGGCCAGGTAGGAACCCAGCTTGAGAGCCAAGCAGACTCACTTGGACATGAAAGCGCTGTAGTGGAGGGGTTGACGGATGGCCACAAAGCAGTCATAGGCCATGGCAGCCAGGACATAGCACTCAGTATCCACAAAGCCTATGAAGAACGCAAACTGGGTGGCACAACTGGGAAAAGAGATGACTTTGGGCTTTGTTATGAAGACAGCCAGCATCCCGAGGGTAATGGCTGAGGAGCAGCCCAGGTCGACAAAAGAGAGGTTGCAGAGGAAAAAACACATGGGTGTGTGAAGCTGAGTGTCTGTCATGATCAGGATAATCATCCCAACATTCCCCACTACATTGGCCAGGTAGACCATGGGGAAGACTGCAAAAGAGATGATCTGCAGCTTGAGTGATGCCCATAAAGATAAACTCAGTCATCATTGAGTGGTTTTCTTTATCCATCTTTTTAATTTTATATGTACCTGGGTTTGGCTTATTGTTTGAGGTGATTCTTAAAAATCCTCCCAGTAATTAGGTTCAGTGATCCACAGGGCAAATCAAATGACTTTGGTGAAGGTGATGGCTGTGTGCTTTCTGCAGGAACTCAGTCAACACAGGAGAAGATGTTAGTGTCTTAGGGATGGCAAATCCTTCTTCTCCAAAGACCTTGGTGCTCTGAGGTCATTTACCACATAGTTTCAAATATTTGACCTGATCGGTATGAATACATGTCTAATTAATTAATAAAGAATAGTTTTGAGTGTCCCTTCTTTCTAAAACAAAGCAGGCAACAAACATTAACTCTCATTGCAGATAGGCACACAAACACACACAGAAAGATCCCGGGGTCTCAGTATATAACACATCATACCACCCTGCTCCACCACACACAAACACATACACAGAAAGTGATATACTTGGATCAGAGTGTGAGCAATATTAGAAAAAGCAGTGGATAATGATAATTTTTAAAAGGCCAGAATGCTAACTATATGCCAGAATTTTCATTTCTTCTACACATTATGTAATTTCATCCTCATCACAGCTCTATGAAGTAGGTGCCAACATTATCTCCATCTTATATCTGAAAAGAGCAAGGCAAGATACTAAATAGCTTCCATACAATCAAGAGCCAGTAAGTAGCAAAGCTGGCTCTGACTCTAGAATCTACTTCACTTTGTCATCTTCTGGGTATATGTGATTTGATGGAGGTTAGAGATCTTTATTTTTGTGCCCACCTTTCTTTCTTTCCTGTCTTGCCCCTTATTCATGGGCATGGAATTAGTTCTCTGGTTTCTCTGATCTTTAGAAACACCCAGGATTTTGGCATGGAGCATAACCAGGATGAAGACACAGCTGTCTTTGGACGATTTTATTGCCTAGCCAACAGCTTCATGTCAGAGTTAAGATTCAAGGGTTGCTTTCTTAGGAGACTAGGGAAAGTGTTATCCATCTCTGTGGACACACAGGAGCATGCATTGGTAAACTTCTTTCTCTCTGTTGGAATGGATATCTGGTCCATTGAAGAAGGAAGTGGGCAAAAGTAAACCAAACCAAAGCAAAATTTAATTTAGAAATAAGTAGCACTCTCTATGTAAACCTGAAAGAAGTCAGACTGGATCTACTCTATTTGGTTTATTGCTCAAGAAAGAAAAGAAAGTAGAGAAAGTGCATCTTTCACTAGGGTGTGGACATTCATAATGGGCTTCCTGGGTGGTGTTAGTGGTAAAGAACCTTCCTGTCAGTGCAGGTAGATATAAGAGGCACAGGTTCAGTCCCTGGGTTTGGAAGATCCCCTAGAGAAAGGCATGGCAATCCACTCCAGTATTCTTGTCTTGAGAAACCCTTGGACAGAGGAGACTGATGGAAAACAGTCCATGGGGCCACAGAGAGTCAAACACGACTGAAGTGACTTAGCACCCAGCCTGCATACATTTGTAATAAGATAAATTTTGGTGTGATTGATAGTAATACCTCCTGTCAACTAAATTCATTGTTGAACTTGATGAATTGCTGTGAGATGCAGCTTCCTTATCTGGGAAATTAATGGGGGTGAGAATGCAAACTCTATGGAGCTTTCTAATTCTAGCATTTTAAAAATTCTGACTTAGAGTGAGACATCTAAAAGTCAAACCCATGGTCTCTATCTCTTTTGTAAACTTTAAGATGTCATGGACCTGATACCAAGGAAATCCATGCCCAAAGGAGCACTGAGTAGTGTAACACTTCACTCTGAACAGGTCATATTTGTTTTTCAGCCCCAAACACACTGACATGGGGCTAATTTTGTTGTTCTTGTTGTTACATTTTGGGGAGAGGTCAAATGTCTCCTCTTCTCTTACTGGGTTATGCTGGACAAATATTCTGAGAAGAATCCAAATATGGGCAATCACCTTCCTGCTGTCCCTGAGACATCTGGTCATCCCACTTTTGCTTCTATTTGCAGGAAGTATTTAAATTTCAGAGTCATCACCTCTCCCAGAAGAAACATGATGAAATGTTTTTTGCACTCACAGGAGACTCAAAGATTTGATAAACTGTCATTCCCTATGGAATTTCACTCTCTCTTCTGTCAACTTTAATGATAAAAAAAGGAAATACAAGGGAATTTTTTTCAGCCTCTCTAGTTGTGGTAACTGAGTCAATAATTAGTGATACATGCTCTGCATTTACAACCCTAAAACTGCCTTTATGATATGATTTTAACTGCAATTTAGAAAGATCTGCTTACTGATGCCTGAAGGCACTTTCAAGAGGATGAGACTTTCCATGGTATATGGAGTGGCCAGTTTTTGTTGCTGTTTAGTCACTCAGTCATGTCTCACTCTGTAACCCCATGGACTGCAGCATGCCAGGATTCCTTGTCCTTCAATGTCTCGCTGAGTTTGCTCAGACTCATGTCCATTGAGTCAGAGATGCCTTGCAACCATCTCATACTTAAATTCTATTTCTCTATTTAATCTGAAAGAATCTGGAATAAGAGACTGAAATTTAGCAACAGCAACAACAGCAAAACCCAAATTATTGAGAACGATCTTTTTTGAGACACTAGTGGATAGGAAAAGGAAAAAAATGGGCTATAGCAAATAAACATTTTTTGAACATTTATTCATCAGAGATTCTGCAGGGTAATTTACATATCTGGTCAATTGAATCTTCTGATGGTACCACTATTGCATTCAGAAAAGTTATATGAAAGAAAAGTCATATCTTTGTTAGTCAGCATTACTTCTGTTTGGTGATGAATAAATGGTAGCTGCTTGTTTGTTGGACTTGAGAGTCCCATGGTTCTCCATGAAAACTGCATTACAACTTGTTAGTGGTTTCTCTTTTATGGCGCCTAGCTCACATCCTTATTTCCAAGGTGAATTCTCAAAAAATTCCATGGAGATATCATCGTATCCTGACTTCTGATGGTCCCCATCTTGGCAGTAGGGAGATAAAGTACTGTGTGTTTTTTAAGATATTTATTTATTTGGCTGCACCAAACCTTAGTTGCAGCATGTAGGATCTATGTTTTGCTTCATGTGGAATCTTTTGTTGCAGTGCTTGGACTCTAGTTGTGGCACATGGGATCAGTAGTTGAGGCCAGCTGGTTCCAGTAGCTGTGGTGGGTGGGGTTAGTTGCTCTGTGACATGTATGATCCTAGTTCCCTGACCAGGAATTGAACCCATGTGCTCTGAATTACAAGGAGAATTTTTATCCACTGAACCACCAGAGAAGTCCTTGTCTGGTGCCTCTTTGAATGGCACTTAAACTAGGTTTAAAAATTAATTATTTTCTTATTCAGAAGCTGCTTGAGATTTTCTACTTCACAGCTTGGGCTGACTAGGGCCTACTCCCTATCCTGTCCATGTTTAATTACTCCTATATTGCCCACTGGTCTCATTCCACCACTCTGTTGTCACCTAAGGTCCTTTAATCCCTATATCCCTTGCCATTGATCTCTTAGTGCCATGTGATCTTTCTTCAAACCTCCATCCACACTTCTATATAATAATGAATTCACTATTACTTGAAGAAAAATTATTTATTCACTTATTAAGTAAACTTCATTATTTGCCAACTATGTTTCAAACTCTGTGTTGATAGGAGTCTACTGTATTTTCCTCTAAGGTACCAATAAAAAAAGTGAAGACTAAGATTTAACTAAAATAATGCAAATACTGTCTGAATTGTTAGAGATAAAGCAATATATATTTTATGTTTTTGTGTCCTCCAGCATTTAGTGCAAAATTTCATTAAGTACATTGTACCAACAAAAATTAATTTGGATATCTTCTCAAAGTGACATAAATAATATAAATGATCACCACATGTTGATCAATTTATTTCAGACTCACATATGGAAGATACATTTAGGCAATGGGAACCTTGTAAGTATCAATCTAGACTACATAGACTGATAACTATTTCTTATTCTAGACAGTAGGGAGGAGAGTCAGGGTGGGGTAAAATCTTGCTTATTAGTCAGCTATCTATATGTATTTGATGCAACAATTTACATGCATTCAGTCATTTATGTACAGAGCCAACCTATGAGGCAGGTGTCGGTATTCCTACATAGAAATGAAAAAACTGAGGAATAAAGAAGTTTGATGCATTATCCAAAGTCCCACAATCAGTGACAGATAGCAGGACTGAAAGTGAGGTCAGTCCTTGTTCTTCCTACCTCCCTTTACCTCCTTCTATTAGTCCATTATCGTGACTCCAGTAGCATAATTTCCCATATGTACCCAAAGTCCTTATAAAGGCAAGGTCAGAGATTGACCTAACCTCTCCTTTTGTAGATACTTTTAATAATCCCAAGGAGATCAGAACACTAACTGTTGGGATGACAGAAAAGGGGTGTTTAATAATGATTAGAGGGGCTTCCCTGGTGTTTCAGTAATTAGGAATCTGCCTGCCAGTGCAGGGGACATAGGTTTGATCCCTGGTCTTGGAATATCCCACATGCCGTGGAACATGAAGAACTGGTGCTGCAGCTACTAAGACTGTGCTGCAGCACTCAGCACTCTGGAGTCTGTGAGCTACAACTACTGAAGCCCACACACCATAACTCGTGTGATGCAACAAGAGACCACCACCATGAGAAGCCTACATACTACAATGAGAGAGCAGTCCCTGCTCATGGCAATTAGTGAAAGTCTGACATTGCAACAAAGCAATGAATAAAAAAAAAAAACAGTGATTAGGAATACTTATCTGAAAATTCATTCTTATTAGTCCCAGGTAGGGCAGAAAGTGAAGAAGAACTAAACAGCCTCTTGATGAAAGTGAAAGAGGAGAATGAAAAAGTTGGCTTAAAGCTTAACATTCAGAAAACTAAGATCATGGCATCCAGTCCCATCACTTCATGGCAAATAGATGGGGAAACAGTGGAGGCAATGGCAGACTTTATTTTTGGGGGCTCCAAAATCACCACAAATGCTAACTGCAGCCATGAAATTAAAAGATGCTT